GTCATTGTATAGGCCACATACGCACTCATTACGCCACAACGATTCTGAATGGAAGTCGAGTGCGGGGGCGCATCCCTCAGACGGGATTGATTAACGCCAAAAACTCTATCCTAAACTCTATCCTAATCCAGAAAATTTCAAGAATGTACCCTAAATTATTAGTAAAACAATGCTCGTTTCGGAGCAAAGATTAATCAGCTTCCAATCGTCTCGAAGTGGATTTTTTGTAGTAGGCGAGTTTCAATTTTCGTGAACAGGGCAGAAGTGAGAACTCGCTCGGAGAATTCTAGTGTAAGTCATAGTTTATAGCCTTTATGACCACCCAGAGGCTTTATGAACAACATAAAAACATATTAATAACATGTGTAGGTACACATTTGAAGGCAAGTAAAGATGGTTTGGAAGAGGGGTGACTTTGTGTTAGCACAACCCACACAGGCGTCCACAGTACTGCCTTTTATGTGCTTCCGAATAGAAAGCGTTGTTGCAAAATCCATTTCGAACCCAGTTCACACAGCTGAAATAATGAAAGATTAGAGTTCACAAGGAATTTTATGTGTTGAAAGTTCGGAAATCGACAGAAAACTCTGGTAACAGACTAACTCAAGAACAAAATGAACAAGTAAATCTAGTCGAAGTCCATGCAGAGCAGGCTTGAAATTTCTGCACGAACTAAGAGATCTCAGCACTTCAGGATTTTGGGGGCGACGCTTCTCTGTATTGTTCGGCTTTGACATGATTGATTTATCCAGATCAGATTGCTATGTCGTATTTTGGTTTCAACTGATAATAGGGACGGGATAGAGTGTTTATGGGAATGGGATGGGAGTGTCTATTCATCTTTAAACAACATACGAAACCAGCTTTTCTAGTATTTCTCAGAGCCCTTTGTCTTTTTGCAGTATCGCTTCAAACGTACACAATTAACTCGCTTTGAAATTCTGGAAGGGTAGCAGTCGTAGCGAGCAGGACCTCTCTCATGAGAGAAGGCTAAATGAATCCTCCACCTGTGCACAGTGTGGAGTTCCACAAGGAGGGGCACTGTCATAGAAAGGAAACGAGTAACAGCGGTATACGAATGTACAAACTTACTATTGGATGAAGTATTTAAAAAACTCACTTTGGGTTTGATCCACATCCAACACCTGAAAGAAAGAAATCCTCAAAAGTTGCTCACTTGCACTGATGATTCATGTCTTCTAGTTAGTGCATTAGAAACAAGGAACACAATCAGGCCCTCTATCCTAGGGAGGGTCAGAAAGGCAGTGTAACCCCGAACAGCCAAATTTTTGTAGTCTCCTTAATTGGTGGCCCTTTCGAAATTCCATATCAGGAAAATGAATGTTGAGGGACTTTCCGTCAACGGCTGTTCAGGCTAATCCCGGTCCCAACAAAAAATTTAAAATGCAAATAGTGAATAAAAAAGTCTAGCTGCATTCGGAATAAGAGAATTCTTTTGCCGAGTGATACCCTTTGGGGTGTAGTGTTGTCGCGTCGCGGCGAAAGGGACGCCGCGCGCGAACGTCGCGGCGAAAGGGACGCCGCGCGCGAGGGAATGTAGCAGAATGTAGCGGAAAGTAAGAAAAACAGGAACAAAGGAAATAACAGTAGAGTCATGCCGGAACCAGAAACTTTGGCTCTTCAGCTACAATCACATTCTCTNTTAAAATGCAAATAGTGATTAAAAAAGTCTAGCTGCATTCGGAATAAGAGAATTCTTTTGCCGAGTGATACCCTTTGGGGGTGTAGTGTTGTCGCGTCGCGGCGAAAGGGACGCCGCGCGCGAGGGAATGTAGCAGAATGTAGCGGAAAGTAAGAAAAACAGGAACAAAGGAAATAACAGTAGAGTCATGCCGGAACCAGAAACTTTGGCTCTTGAGCTACAATCACATTCTCTACAATGGTTAATATCGGTTTCACATGTAAGGCGAATTTAGACAGATTAATAATTTCTTCACTCTACTTAGTTATCTACATACAATAACGAAATTTTGATAAGGCACTTTGCCTGTGAAAGTGTCTCTTTGCCATCTGCCATTCGATGAAAGACCCCTTCCCACTGATACTCAAGCACTCACCTGGTGCTCCTGAAGTTGCAGTTGTAGATGCAGTGTTGCAGAGCCCACATGTCTTCTTGCAGTAACGCTTCAAAAGTATGCAGATAATTCGTTTCGAGAATCGCGATTTGCTAATAATAGTAAACGTCTCAGTGTACCCACCTGGACAAAAGATTGCAGGTTCTTACTCTGGCAGATGAATGCGTTATCCAAGTTGCAACCAGGTGCTTCATCAACGCAAGAACCAGAAAAGAGAAATTGCTATTAGAAACATTCAAAAATTAATCCTTGTTTTATGTTCATGAGCTAACGATCATTGTACGTGCGGTAGTGTGCGAATACTTGGTGTGTTACTAGAACAAGCTCATCCTCTAGAAAGGTAGCAAGGGATGCTTAGATCAACCTTTGGAGCTTAAAGCACCGGGTGCGTCGTTTTGGTCCTAAGCAAAGCATTGTCATTTATAGCAAGCCCTTCCTTGACCGACTTCATCATGCAGAATGAAGACAGAAAAGATGGAAAACCAACCAGAATCGCAGAGACCACACGTTTTTGGGCAGTCCTCTGCGAGAATATCTCTCCATGCATTACTTTCACACATATCCTGACTCACTGATGAGCAGGGATATCGCGGTCCTGAAATGAGATTCGAGAAAGTAAAATTCGTAATTCGGATCTTTTGGGGCATGTCAGGAAGGAAATGAGGGCAACACCACCTAGGCCTCGGATCTAATCGTAATCTATTTTTGTTGATTGAATTCGAAACGCATGAACTCACGCAGTTTGTTCTGACAATTATAGGCTGGTGTAAGGCAGCAGTATCCACATTGTTTAGGGCAAAAGCTGATCGCAGTATGGAGCAATTCTTGATTCTAAAAATGAAGCAAACTATCCCATCGATAAGTTTGTTCTCACAACTTCTTTTTGGACTGCAGACAACCATCGCCAACAATTGAACAGCAATTCTTACACTGTTATCAGTAACAAGGCGCAATTCCTGTTTAGACTCTTGAGTCTTACCCTTTCAATTATCAGCCTTCCTCCACTCCTCAATTCAAGGGCGATTGAAAAATAAGGGGAACATTTCGGTTATACATATTTTTCAAGTCTCATTGTGTTGACGACATTGCCTACATGCTGTTGTCACTCCATCACGAAGGCACTTCCTTTTAGCGGACGTCCTAGATGACATTCTGCTAAAACTCTCTGTCATTATCGTACAGAACGGCTCACTCAGTGGCGCAGACCAGGCCCACAATATCTTGGATAAGCTTCGTCTTGCGATGGCTATGTCCTTGTTTTGGTGTAGACACTGCGCGTGCATAGTAGCTGCCAATAGACCGTCGACGCAATACCGCTTGACATAAAGGCTTTCTATCCTTGGTAACAGTGGCAAATCCAATGGAGTTGCCTCCACAGTTGAACTTTTGAGCTGAAGTTGCCTCCACGAAGATAATAACGTACCTGGGTCCGTATTTCTCCCTACATGTCGTGATAACTGATCTCACTTAGCCAGCTACGAACTAACAAATCATACCACGGGATTTCCTGCGCATTTAGCATTTCTATCTTCATCGTTCGTATCCACTTTCACACCATCCCCATAAATGATTTGGCAGTTGGCGTCAGACATTTTGTTCCTGCAGTTTACTGCCGACTGAGCGTACTGAAATGAATCGTAGGATCGTACGTCGTAGGATAGATGATATTGAACAGATTCTTACATTTGCATCAATGGACCCACAAGGAATGAGAAAATGAGAACTTGAGTGGGAAGGACACTCTAGGAAGCTATAATAATACTGTTTTCATAGAGCAGACGAAAATTCCCACTCCCTCAGAAATTGAGCAGCAGCAAACTTTTTCTAACCCGCATGCCACCAAGGAAAAGGAAGGCATCCTGAAAGAAGAATCCAATCTAAATATTCATTCAGAGACTCCTATCCCTAGCAAACTCCCCAGTGGTAGAGCTATTGGTGGTCTCGATTTCTTCTCCTACCTGTGTCAGTGGCAGCTTGAGAGTTCAAGACGTGCATTCTTTCAAACGACCAACCGACCGATACGACCGATGGCGTTGCTGGCCATGTGTTGACAACGCTGGACACTGATCGATATCGCCTACGCCTGACTCTGAAAACAATCTTTCTTGCGTTGTCATCGCGTGGCTAGCAACGCTGTCGGTTGGTCGCTCGTTGGAACAACTCACGTCGTTGAACACTGAAAGCACACAGCTGGGCGTCATTTTTGCTTAGGCAATAGAAACTTGCCTACCTTGAATTCACCATCGACACGGTAAGTGCAGTTGAGGTCGGTGATCGCTCCTCCTCTGACAAACTCCAAGGTGGAGAATAATATAATCAATAGCATACTTTTGCTAAAATGCTCTGAATCAGTAGAATGTATGGACACAATGGCCAAAATGCAAAATTACAAAGGTAGAAGCTACCAACTTGCTTTTATATGGCACCCATATACATTTTCATGCCCCAAAAGAATGCGGACGCATGGCAGAACAAAGTGGTGCCATACTTTTTCTTAACATTTAAATGACGTCAATAATAAATAATTCGTTGTGAAATCGCCGTATTTTTTGGTAAGAGCTTCGTACAATGAAATCACGCAGAGATCTCTTTGTTTCCATCCTTTCTAGAAAAACTGTTCGATGGTCCTTGCACTGGCTGGACCTGCTGAATCACTGCGTGCTAGGCTTCACCTCACCCCATTGGCACGGCTTATTTGTACAGGACACAGCGAAAAGCGAATTTGCACGTTGAAAACGCTGTTGGTGGCAGTGAGGACCATTCTTTCACAGAGCTGCCTCTGAGAAACTTCGGAAGCAAAAACTCGTGAATCCGAATTCTGAGGATTGGTCATGAAAAAGTGCCCTTCATAGGGTGTTTGAGAACTTCCGAGAATAGCACACAATCGCTCACAGGTGTGGTTTTCGGATGGAAAAAAAGTTATCAGTAGCAATAGTTGAACATAATAAACTCGAAGCCTCTTTACGTTAATCAATCCCGTCTGAGTGATGCGATCCGCCTTCGACTTCCATTCAGAATCGTAGTAGTGTATGTGGCCTCTACATTGACTCACAATGGCCATCCGAACTACAAGTCAGAGTTTTAACCTCCCAGACGAGTCTGGTACCCACTACCGGATACTGAAGGGATGAAAGATTTGGTTGGCGTTGGCGTAAATGGTCCGGGATTAAGACCCGTGAACATGCGTGTGAGTTAGTGCACCATTTGCCACTACACCTGATTTTACATATAATTGATTGATTATAATCACAGGCGGTGTTTACTTCCATTCGGGAGACTAATGAACATGGACTTATGGACCTGCTCGATTTCCAAACGCTAGTGTTGATAGTGAATAGACACACTAGCAGAAATGATTTTTGTATCGACTTCCTAGGAGTTATCGAGAAGAATGTTAGTCACAATAGTGTTTTCGAGAGTTCTTCAGAAATCATTGCCAATGAAATGAATGAAATGCCTCTGTTAACTGACTTTGTAACTTTTTTGAAAGGTAGCGTAATATGGATGATGCTTGAAAAAGTGTTCAGCTGAAGGATATTGAAGAGATGGATAGGCAGTTGAAGATGACTATGACCGACGAAAACCGCGGAAGACACTGCTTTCGAAGGATGGCGACAATAAGAACTGAACTGAGGTGAAGTGAAGGAGCAGCAGTGACCAATACTACTTGATTCTCTACGACTGTGACCAAATCCCTCATATTCAAAGGAAATAAAGGAATTGTGCTGCTGTCTTGATGGGTGAAGTGGAGTAGTTCAGGTTCTTGTATACTTGATGATAGGAAAAGATATCAATTGAGGAGGGCTGGTAAAAAAGGCAATAGCCACTGAGCTCATTTGGCTTATCTAGTTGAGGGGGTACTCGCCACTCTGAAAGACGATAGTCATCCCTGGAAGTCATGGATAGTTAGTGAGAAGGACCGATAATAACTGATAGGATGATAGCAACAACTGAAATGCACAAGCCGCTAGATTATATCCTTTCTCCGTATGACGGGGGATCCGCGACATCAGTGTGTGACGAATTTTGTTACTGTTCATCAGTTGGCTGGTCTCAGAAGGTCTCAGAAGAATACCAGCTAATAAAGGATGCTTATCGAGTTGTTATGTATATTACTATTCAAAATCCTATCCCGAGCTAACTTCCAAGTACGGCTTTCTATGGAACACGGCATAGTTGTATTGCAGTGTTTATTTCCTATTGTTGTGTTGTTATGTTTACTAATATTCCAAATCCTATCCCGAGCATTTTCTCAGTTTACAGGCCCCGTGGTCTCTATGGTTGTGCCGTAAACCTTCTGGAAATAATTCATAGCCGCACCACATTCTGAAGGGTTTCTGCCAAGCTCGAATAATTACAGGTTTGTTGGGAATTTGTAAATATAAAGGTACTTCATACAAGTATACAGTTAGAGTTACAGTATACAATTACGAGTATACAGTTAGAGGACGTCTTTAGTCGTCGCCGCCGAAATGGGGCTTGTACAAAAGCTGTGGCTGCATTGACATTCAACTGGTTTGGAACTCATTGCTTCTCTGATCGAGCGATCTCCAACTTCGTTATGGAAAGACAGACTTCAAAATCAATCTTTATTTTTTATCACCATGAAGCTATATACACTATAACGGCATATCCATTACATGTGTAGGAACACATTGGTAGACGAAAGAAGCATTGCTTGAGTAGAAACGCTCCTCTCAGCACAAACCACAGAGCCGTCCACAGTACTGCCTTTTATGTGCTTCCGTATAGAATGTGCTTCTACAGAATCCATTTCGAACCCAGTTCACACAACTGAATATACCAGAGAACCACAGATTGGATTTAAAAAACGGAACTTTTCAGAACTGAACACGCAAAAAGAATTTTAAAAATTTGTAAAGACAAAAATAAAGGACCCACTTAGAATTCGATCCACATCCGACACCTGAAAAAGAAATTTGCAATTGGCACGTCCAAAACGATGAAAACAATTCGTCGTTTGGAATCGTCATTAGGACCACGGAAACATGGCTACCCAAAGGAACAGGCTAAGCTGGAAACTGCTGCTCTTTTCAAGGATTGCTTTCGAAGTTTTTTCATAAAGCAGTGAAGATTGAATCGCGGAGAGCTTGAGATATGTCCTTGGAAATTCCGAACTCGAGAAACTCAAAAAGACTCTTTTCCCAAAAAACCGTCTAGAGCGCCTTCTTCCGCAAGGCAAGAACTTCTCTTTACCTCTCGAAGAAATTTCAGGAAGATATTTCGTAGTTGATAAGGTGCTCATTAAATCCGTCAAGTGGTGATAAGATATACCAAGCATTTAATTTGAAGTAATCACCTGGAGCTCCTGTAGGTGTAGGTGCAGTTGTAGATGCAGTGTTACAGAGTCCGCATGTCTTCTTGCAGTATTTCTATAAACATAAACATATACATACATTAGATATCGGTCTAAAGGATGAAGGATAAAGACTTGGGGCGTTATTCAATCCCGCTTAGGAGATGCGCCCACCACTCGATTTCTATTTAGAATTTTAGGTGCGTATCGAATGCGTACATATGTGGCCTATACAATGACTTGCGAGGGCTAGCCGATGTACAAGTCGGTGCTTTCATCCTACCAGACGAGTCTGGTACCAGTTAACCTACCCGATGGGATGGAAGGCTTGGTTGGCATAGGCGNCCATGACCATGCAAGTGTGATAGGGCCACTGCACCACTTCCGTCCAAAATATCAATACAGGATTAACTAATTCAGGGCTCGTAGTTTGAGAATATTTGTCAGGGTTGCTTTTGTGAGGAAAGGTTCACTTGCCTGTACGAATGATTGCAAATTTTTACTCTGACAAATAAGAGCGTTGTCCAAGTTGCAGCCAGGTGCTTCATCGACGCAGGAACCAGAAAAAGAAATCGTTATCAGAAATCGGTGAAAACAGACTATGTTCATGATCTGACGTCCTTAGTACGTAGTCTAATGTGCGGTCCCATGAGAGTAACCAGCACAACCATTGTTCGCCTCGATTAAGAAAACCCATTATCATGAGTCCTAAATCTCTAGTAATCCTATTTCTGCAGAACTTTGAATGACGACTTGTTTAAGGCTTGGATGGACGGGTGGGGGGTGCTGTGTTGAGTTTGCACTGTTTTCAAAAGCCGATTCCCCTTCAACCGATTTCTCCTGATTCTCAATTAATGACGAGCACAAAGGAAAGACAGACCAGAGTCGCAGAGACCACACGTTTTTGGGCAATCCTCCGCGAGAATATCTCTCCAAGCGTTACTTTCGCACATATCTTGCGTCACTGATGAGCACGGGTATCGTGGTCCTGAAGCGGAACACGTAATCCGTGGATATCTTGAGTACTAATCCGATACCACATGAGAGTGCACTTTCGTTTTTAGCAATAGAATGAGGAAGGATTGAACTCACGCAGTTTATTCTGACAATTGAAGGCTGGTGTGAGGCAGCAGTATCCACATTGTTTGGGACAAATGCTGATTGCGGTGTGGAGCAGTTGAGGATTCTAAAGTAAAGCAAAATGTCTTGTCAATGATAAGGAATCTCGAAGACAACCCGCGGCTTCAGTCACTTCGTCAAGCTTTAGTGATATGATCAGAGAAACTAATATTCACACCAGCTACTCGAGCTTGCTATGATAACCATTAAACCATACCACGGGATTTCCTGCGCACTTTTCATTCCGATCTGCATCGTTTGTATTCGCTTTCACTGCATTCCCGTAGATGAGTTGGCAGTTGGCGTCAGACATTTTGTTCCTGCAGTTCACTGCCGATTCAGCGTACTGGAACGAATGTCAAATTAGCGTTTTTTCCGGACATTATTTATAAGAATAAATCAGAACACAGAGAAGTAGGAACTCAGGGAAGTAGAAAACTGAGAACTCGGTGGAACTCCTTCCTAAAAAGCCAGTTATCAACAACATATACAGTTCAGGTAGAGGACGACATTGTCGTCAGTTTTTGACCTCGTAGCTTTTCTACGTCTATGGGCTAGCTTTAGGTCCCTTTCCGTAAACCATTACCTCATATCCCTTTTTGGAAAATCAGCACATTTGAAAAGCCTTTCGGGTAGCATTGAAGTACAAATAGCAGGAAATGGAGTTAAGAAGAATTCTGCCGTTGTATTCCTTCGAGGAAATGTCCTGTATGCTGAAGGGAAGTGTTGAATCCGCAGTAGCTCAATCTGCTTAGCTGATTCCCGATTAGTAGAGGAGCTCTTGATTCAAAATTCTTCCGTTTATCCGAAGTGGAACGAAAACAGTAAAAGTACATCAAAAAACAGTACTCGTCTACCTTGATATCAGCTCCAACACGATGCGTGCAGTTGAGATCAGTGATTGCTGCCTCTGTTTCGATCACGAAAAGGGTTGAGAATAGTATAATCGGAAGCATATCTTCACTGAAATATACGGAGTGAGGCAAGTGGATTGGTTTAATACAAGAGGCTAAGAAGGATGGCAGGCACACAAGCTTCCTCCTTTTATACAGTCTCGGTTTTTCCCTCATGCCCCTT